ACGTGCACATACACATTGTGATGAAGCAAATGACCTGCTGGGTCTTTTGACTAACAGTTCAGTTGCTTATCTCCATCTAAAGGGTCAGGGTATATTTCTTTGTGCAGATCAGATACACACTGGTGTCAACAAATCCCACAACAAGACCAAAACCAACAATGAAGTGATGCTGCAGGTTGACGATACAGCAGTTGTTTTCTGGTACCTATTAAACCCTGAGCTCAAACTTTGCACTGGGTGATGTGATCCTTCATTACAACGACCAAGTCGATCCCACACACTCGGCCTGTAACTACACAATCCCCAACGTTTTTCTAAAAACGACAGTAGAGCTGTTGTAGGAAACGTCTCAACCTAAAACTTTATACTTGTTAGTGTCCATTTTATTTGTAAAGCACATTTAAAAACATCTGTTGACAAATACAGTACAACAATGGACAACTCAACACGTTGATTTAAAAAGACCCATACTCTCAAACTGCTCTAAAAGCCAAGGGATAAAAATAGACCGAGTGTAAAAACCGACAGCAAAGATGCCGCCCTGATGTGAAGTGGCGACTCGTTCATAGTGTAGGGGCCCTATGTGCCAAGGCCCCACCTCCTCTAGTTTGTAACTTTGGTACAGCCAAAAGCGACCGAGCAGCAGATCCAAGAGGCCAAATAAAACGGAGCATACACTCCCTCAAACCAGGTGGCGGCTGCATTTGGAACCTCTTGTAATCGGGAGGTAGAGGACTGGTTCACGCCAACATAAAGAGCAGTAATCAAGGTGATTAGAAATAGAAGCATTGAAGGCCTTTTTAAGATTGTTCCTGGATGTGAAGGGTTTAACTTTGAACAGTGATCTTAGCAGAAAAGAACTCGAACAGCAGAACTGATTTGTTTATCTCATTCCAAATGGGAAGGTTTATGCAGGGAAGATAAATAGTATAGAGAAACGTACTCACATGTTGTGTTTTGGTTTTGTCATGGGATTTGTTGACAATAAGAAAAATATAAAGTAACACACCTTATCTGTTAAACTTCACCAGCAAAACGTACAAGTTTCATGGCCTTTCTGCATGAACAGGGACACCGTGTAGCAGCAGTCAGCGACAACGACCTTTCAGCTGCTTACGTAGGTGCATGGCAACACGCTGTACAGACAATTCACAACACAAGGGTCCAAACGCTGTTTAGTTTATTCTCCTGCAGTCAGTGTATTCCATATATGCAGCATGGCGGAAGAGGTTTCTTATAGAATTCATCACACAAGCCCAGTAGGCTGCAGGCTGTATAAGCAGTGGTCTATGAGGTGTCTCACTTTTCAGTGACCTTTGACCTTTGTGGAGAAGGTTAAGGGCAACCAGAATTTCACCTTGGAGATCATTTTAAGTATCTACGTCCATGAGCCACTACAAAGTGCTGCGCTCTGTGAGAGAAACCTGCAGACACTCTGCATAAATCAGAATTAAAAGAACCTATAACTCTCCTACGACTGTTAAAGCCTCAGCATTCATCAGCCTTCAGGGTCTGTAGCCTCTTAAACAAACAGCGCTGGCTCTGGCTTTTCTGCGTGTGAGGCAGAATAGACACGTCCTGCTGTGGCTACTGCTCTTTTCACCCCGACCGCCGAACAGAGCTCCGCTGTGCCTCGGTGGACACTGACGTTCCCCCGACGTTTGTGCACTGAATTCCATTTCCTCTTTTTTGCTGTGAGGCACCTTTTTGTTCCCCGTTTGAAGAATCCTCTGCAAACAGAGGCTGGCTCTCAGAGGAAACGGGGGAAGCAAATAGCCCGAGAAGGGGAAAAGGCTATAAAAATAATGGCATGCGGTGATTAAGGAAATGCATTAGATACAGTCTCGAGAAACGCTGGCTACTCCTGGCACGGCTGTTAATAGAAGTGTTTATATGCAGTAAGGGCAAACAGGAATTCGGCTCAGTCTTAAAGTGGATTAAAATGATTTGAATCTGCAACAACTCTTGATGAACCCTGAATAATTTTTAAGTGATTAAAAATCCAGCCTATTAGTTAAATCTCAAAAGCTATTATTCACTGAACAGTAGTGTCTCTTATTGCTAATTAATTAATTGGTGCTTGCATGACTAACAGCTACTGCTCAGGCACAAGTGCACCAGACTGGACACTTCCTGTTCCTGCTCTTGTACTGTTTGGCCACTCCGTGTCTCTGCAGCCAATCGAAGGTGCCCACAGCGACGAGGGTGGGTCAGCTCAGAGCGGCTTGTTCTCATGGCACTCAGGTTCATCTATACTGTAAGCGGGGTGTGGATTAGGGGATGAAAGAATGCCACTGACTGTGAAATTGCCTGATTTTTATCGGGGATGTTGGGGAGCAGCTGTGCACAGTCCTCTGCCCTAATCCTGAGGCCAGCGAGCAGACCGAGTGAGGAGGGGAGTGCGTATGTTCCTCTGAGTGTTGCCTGCACGCCAAGGCCTACAGTAGAGAACAGAGTTTATGTCTGCCCCTTCAGTAGACTAGTTATCCCCTGATAAATCATCGCAGTGTTTGCTCCTGCAGCAGTGTGGCTGTGCTGCAGGAGCTGGTGCAGGTCATCACCAGATACAGTACGAGCTGTGTCATAACAGTATCAGTGATGCAATGACTGTATAACCATGAGTCTCCACTAACAGAGGAAACCTGCTTGGGAAGAAGAATTATCAGCTTGTGCTGTAGTAAAAATAAATAAAACTGTCTTACAGCCACTGCTGAAGGCCAGTTTAAAGCTGCTCTAATCCTGTTTGTATTAACAGTGGGTCAAATGTCTGTGTAGGGTCATTTATAATGACGTAGGTGCAGATAATTATCACCCAGCTCTACGGGTCCCTTCCATAGGCTGACAAATGACAAAGGACAAACCCACTGTGACGTCATCCACTAAGAGCGGTGTTGAAGCTCAGACCTGGTGACATCTTTAATTAAATGCATAAATTTTAGTCTCAGTATAATTTAAACAGGCACATTATATAAACATTCACCGCTGTCCAGTTGTCATGGAAGAGGAAATAAGATATTGAGATGAAAGTCGTTTTTTGTACCAGTATAACCAATAAATATATTTATTTGTGTTGTAAATTTGGGCAGCCTATGGGGATTGACTTCCCTTTAGAGCCTCAAGTGGCCGATCGAGGAACTGCAGGTTGTAATACTTGGCACTTCATTTCTCAGCCTCGGAAGCTGCTGTTTGAGCTCATGGGAGCAGTTTAGCATCTTTAATCTCAGTGCTGTGGTTGTATGATCCAGAGGTTTGTTGTTTTAGTTCATTCTCTCTCCTTTAATCATCAAATGCTTTCAGCAACAACTCATTGCATCAGATGGGAGGCAAACAAAGTGTGGAGCGTTGAGCAGTGAAAGAGTCAGAGATTTCTTTCAGGAGTTGGTAGAAACTGCTAAGAAAGGAGCAAACATCAGACTTCAGTTTGTCCTGTGAACAGAAACATGAATGCTGTTGTTGCTCTGTGATTTCTGGGTGTTACCAACACATTCACCACTTCAGCGTTAGAAGGTGGTACATCACAGCTTGTTCTGCTCCAAACAACGTTGTAATTCAGCAACAAGGTCAAAAACATTGTTCAAAGTGCAACATTTAAAACTGTATCTAGGAATATGTTTAAAATAAACTTTAAACATTGCACACAGTCATTTGACGTGTTAGTAATGTAAAAATCTGGGTGAGGGAATCTTTAAGTCTGCTACAAAAAAACAGTATCAGTTCCTTTGTGTCTTAGGTTTCATCAAATATAAAATGCACTAATTTCCAAAGTTTATCTTACCTGAACAGATGTGCTGAGAAACTTTTAATTTCACTATTGAATCTAGACATAACAATGAATTTACAGGAGACAGACCATGAGAGTCTGGATGACATTTCTCTGATGAACAGTGAGTCTGTGCTCCTTTGTTTCTGATGTGCTGCTTGCGCACATGCCAGTGAAGCTCGTCTCTCTGCGACTGGGGAATCAGTCCTCGTGCCCGTGCTCGGATGTTTGCACACAGTGAATCGAGGCCTATCTCGGTGGCCACGCCTGACGCACAGGCTGAAATATAGTCAGCAGGTGACAGGCAAACATATGCCTCAAATGCCATGGGGTCCTGAAGCCAGATCATCTCCAAAGGCTAACTGGCAGGTCTGGGCAGGGACGGCATTAGGACATATTATTCACAAAGAGCATGGTTGAACAGAAAAATGTGCCCGGCGTGTACCCAGCTGCTTTGTTGGCACGTAGCGCGGCCTCTGCCTGCGTTTCAAGACTGAGCTCGGATTTAGCCCCGCATTCACTGAATTCCCCATGCAGCTCCCACTCATTCATTCAGGCCCAGGCTGGGCTGTACCAACAAACCCGTATCTGTGTGTGTGAGGCAGAGCGTGTGCGTTTGTGTGGTTTCCTGAATAGTTTCGTAAATCACAGCAAATTCAGAGTTTTGACAAGTCTATACAGGAAATGTTTATTAATGAGAAACCCAACAGACGTGGTTTAAAACGGCCTCTTCAGACTTTATTGAGTTGTTGTAAAGCTGTTTTTCACACCCAGATGCCCGCAGCCAAACAGGATGAGTCTCCCAGGAGCGTAAAGCCTGGTTGGACTGGCGCAGCGCTGCTCTGCGGAGCTTGGACCGTTTTGGGTGCTTCATCCATTCATGTCGATGCGTCTTGGCGGATGCAAACTGTGATTAAACCCATTTCCTGTGTGTGACAAGGTACTGATGTTCATGGACACACACTGTCGTTCCATAGCTTGAGGTCAGCAGGTGCTTGTGTGGCGCTCTGGAGGTGTGGTGGATTTATTTAGACATGCAGCGCCCTCTAGAGGCTCAGGGTTGTGTAGCTCAAGAAGACTTTCCTGAGTATTTATTCTTCTGAGCCTTTTTAAGAGGTGATTTACTTTGACCCAGTGAAGGTTTCATGAACAGTACAAGTGTTAAAGATAAGGGAACAGGACACGTGTATCATGAGAAGTTTTTTTAATTTAGAATTAGAGTATTTAATGACAAGGAAAACAAAGTACACTTGGCAAAATTGAGATGGAACTGATGCTGAAAATGGGCGTTTTGTGCTCTATAGTAGAGGAATGTTTCATCTCTATTTACAAAGCAAATCTAATAACAATTAAAAGCAAATACTGGTGTATTTACACAGATGAGACACTGGCAGAGCTGAAGCTTTGTGGAGTGACGGAGCGTGTAGATCTGGAAAAGGTGACACAGCTGATGAGCTCGAGTAAATCTGGATTCACCGGTTGTTTTCATTCTTCCCTTCACTGTTTGTCAGCTTTCCACAAGAAATGTGACTGTAAAACAGTTCAGACGGACACCTGTCACTGGTTTCACTGGTTGCCACTTCCCAGTAAAGTACAGTATCTTGTAAACTCAGTTAAGACCTTCATCTGCTCTTCTGCCAAGCTCTCCTTCAGCAGGTGAAGTAAACTTACATGCTGTTCTCTAAGTGGCTTGCTGTAAAAGTCAGACTCTGCCGCTCGGCTGCCTCTTCGGCTGTCATTCCCTGAAACGCCTGAGGAGAATTGATCCACAGAGGAACAGAGATGTTCAGGAAAAGGAAATAACAGACTCCCATTTAGTGCAAGTGAGACTGACTAGATCAAAACACGGCACTGGGGATGTGATTAAACACCCTGAGGATTAATTCCCCACCAGTGCCACAGTGACTGGATAAACTACAAAGGTGTGCAAACTGGTTTAGTCTGAGAGAAGCTTGTAAAGACTCACTTGGCGTGTGACGAGCGGCGCTGATTTTATCTGAGGGGGAGAGAAGCATCTCTAAGCCACTTACACTTTAACACAGTCACCTTAAGGTGCCTCCTTGATTCAGTTGAACTTCTACTGCTCTGTGTGGTGTTTATTTTTATGTCAAGTTCCCCGAAACCTGCAGTGACAATACAGTTTAGCCCTCATACCCAGGATGGAGGAGTATTTACCATAGACACCGTCGCCGTCGCCTCCGTTGTTGATGAGGCTGGCTGGCGGCTGACTCAGCATCTCCTGTGAGGCCAAAGAGCAGTGCTTTAATATCAGTCTGAAAGTGTCTGTTTATTTACATATCATGGGGTTTTGTGTTTGCACCGGGTGAGGACAGGATCAGGTGCTGTCACAGAGGTCCAGTGGAAAGCTGACCATCTGCAGATAATGTTGAAATGTGCAACAACCGGAGCGGAATAAATGAGCAAAGGTGGGTCCACTGATGTCATCAGCCTCCTTGTCATTGCTTTGTGACACATACTGCAGTGTGTTGTGTGTCACTTACATCCATTACATATTTCCATTTATTTTGCTTCTTGACACGTTTTGACAGCTGTACAGTTACTATTTGAAAACCATTTGACATTTAATTGTTAAAGATGAAGCCGTGTGTGTGTGTGTGTGTGTGTGTGTGTGTGTGTGTGTGTGTGTGTGTGTGTGTGTGTGTGTGTGTGTGTGTGGAACATACTGACATTTCTCTACTTATGTTTGATATTCTAAGTATATGTTGTGATAGTATTTAATACGTTTACTGAACATGTTGAATGCACTTGTAAGTTAGTATTTTAAAAAGAAACAGGTGGAACAATGCCATTAACAATGGCTCTGTATCATCTGTGAAAAAGGCTGGCGGCCCAGTTTAAATTAACGTTCATATGGAAACTGTAGCCAGCTGTCGTATTTGTCTGTTGTGCCGGTCCCTCCCTGCTCAGCGGGTGTCCCTGGCTCGTCCCGCCGCTCCAGAGTCACCTGATAATCAACAGCCAGCACACCTGTCCCCCACTCCCCTAATTAGCCCATAGACCCAGGTTCAGTTAGAGCTCGTTTTAGAACTAGATTCTCTTTGTCAGCTGCTGTAAAAGAAGCAGAAGAATAACCAGACTTCACTTTATCTTATTATCTGCAAGACGTTCATCCTGATGCCTTTCAGTTACTAAAAGCAGTAAAATCAACACTGAAGTCACTGACAACAGACACACAGGTTGACCAATCATTGGTCTTTTGTGGGTGTTAAACAGGAGCTTGAGGACACAGCCCCTGCATTTTGTTGTACTGTGAAAAAAGGTGAGACAAACCGTGAAAAGTGGCTGTTCACTATTTCTCCTCTGCTACTAATCCTTACATACTGTACAGGGACTGTTTTGCAGGTTGCACGAGCATCAGACGAGCTCATTGTTTCCTTAGGGCTTCATCCTACGTGTTCAGGTCCAGTGTGAATGTGGTCAGAGTGTGTGATAGTCCTACCTGCTGGAGGACGTCCCTGCCCCTCTGACGTCCCTGCCCGTTGCTGAAACGCTCCAGGGCCTCGTCCACAGAGAGCGAACCTGCCTCAGTGAGCTGCTGAAGCGTGTGCAACTGGTTTGGCCCAACGGTGTCATAGGTGGAAGAGATGCTGTCTTTTCGCCCATCGGCTGCAAAAAAAACAACATCAGAAAATCTGACAGTTTTAGTGCTAGACAGCAGAAAAACTCCCCACACAGGTGGCAAACAAGTTAAACTAGTTTGCATGTATAATATCACAAATGAAACAAGCGATTCTGTTTGGAATCGGACAGAAATGGGAAGAGACAGGGGCGAGATGGCGCTCACAGAGGCGGTAATGTGTTTCTCTTCCCCAGCACATCAGTAATGCCAGTGAGTCACGCGGCTGGAAAGTCATTTTCTGGGTGACTGTGATGATCTATGGACCTGTCATTCAGTGCCACTAACAGTAGAGTAAATCAGATGAATTGCTTTGTATCTCTGTACACAGATGTAGCAGCACTTTCTCTCCATCACCCTATTTTTTACTTTTATTTTCTTGGCACTCAACTGTATTTAAATGTACTGCTCACTTTTTTTTACTCTTTGTGTGTCCATCACTTTGCTGTTCTGCTTATGTCTCTGTGAGGATCGTGTCATTTAATTTGTTCGACAAAACACCACAAATGATCAAAGTGTGTCATCATTAATCGATCCCATCCAGCAGGTCATTTCAACAGAACGGGAGCAGTCAGTGAAAGTCAGTGGCACAGTAAAAGTCCTGCTGGCAGGAGTAAAAGATGTACAGCCTGCAGAGCTCAACATGATGGCTTGGTGCAGTTCAAGCAGGAATCGGTGGCAGTTATGGACAAGCCAGGCTCCCAGAGGTGTGTCTGGGTGCAACTACAGTCCACTTAAAACTGAAGTCAGAAGAAACGGGCATAGAGGACATACAGTAAGTCCCAGTGGCGTCTTAGCTTCATGTTATCCCATTAACTTCTCTTCTGTGTCTAATAGAGTCTGAGAAAATGTCTCTTATGTCTCTAATGAGTGTTCTTTGTCCATTTAGAGACTAAATATCAGCCTGTGTCGGCCCCGCTGCTCTCATGTCCACCTTCCTTCTTGTAATCTGTCTCCTGTGATGTTAACTGAGCAGCATTTTTCATGTTTTCTCCAATTTACCTGACACTCACCTTCTTTTGTGGCAAGTGAATACACATCGTCTCCCTGTGGTGTCTTCTTCTTCTGGAACACTGCAAATACAGGGGAGTTCCCAGTTGTTATTGTTATATATGAAGACTACAATACAGACAATTTAATTATTTATTATAACTGTTTGGACCATTTTGTACTAGCCTGCTGTGATGCCACTGATTTCTGGAGGTGGATTGTGCTCCTGCACTTTAACTGATTCTCCACAAGATGGCGCCATTCGCTAAATATGAATGCATTAACCTGTAGTTGGGCTGTGCCTGGTTAAGTGTAGTTGGTGGATAAACACACCACTGCTACAGAATATAGAAATGTAATAATAATATATGAATATTTGTAAAGTTGCAGATTTGCTGATCCGGAGCTCGAAGACTCACACCGTGTGTTCTGGGCTGAATCAGATGCTTTTGGTTTGATAGTGAGCACATGGAATGAAAGGCCACACTGTTTGGCTGTCAGAGGCAGTGGAGCTGTGGCTGTGTGACCGATGCTGGATTAAAATTCACCATCCACACCCAGTAAGATAATCCCACCTCTGACTGCTTCCTCCATGACAGTGTCTGTCTTTTCCACTTCATGTCCAGACACAGTCTTTCTTTTCTGCCTTGCTCGTGATCCGAGCCTGGCTTCACGGCTTAATTCAGAATGGAAGTGCGAGTGGTGTGCAGCTCCACACATGGCTGGAGCTGGAGCTTTTGCTCTTCCTTGCCTCAGTGCGTGTGCGTCGCTTTCCGTGAAGTTTACATCTAGTAATTCCTCCCTGTGGGATTAAATTTCATTCATATTTTCAGTGTTTTCACTCAGTGCCACTAACATCAGAAGACTTCTCATTATTTCCACTTGTACAGTGACTGGCTTCTTGCCTAATCCTTCACCATGCTCTCACATGGTTCGCTGCGTCAGTGGGACTGAGCAGCAAAATGCGATCCTCGTGTGGCTTAAAGCTCCACTGTCTCAATAGATGGAAACCTCAAAATCCCTCTCCTTTCTCTTGTGCGCTCTGGGGACTAGGACGATGGAAAACATGTGTAATGACTTATTCTGGCTGACTTGGCCTTGGTTTGGCTAAGATTGGTTGCAGATGGCAGCCCGGTAGCTCTCTCTCTGTTAGTGAGGGGATGGTTGGGATGCACAGAGTTCAGTGGTGCACTCAGTCTCTGTTTTGTTTTGTAAGCACCACTGGGAATCCGGTGGGCTCACTGGACATATTTTTGTTTTTTAAATGCATAAGTGGTGGTGGGGAATAGGTGTAATAATGTCTGAAGGATGCATGTGAGCATGTTTGCATTAGCTCAGTGAAAACGTGAAGCCTCAGCCAGTAGGTGATTTACAGGCCTTAATAATACCAGTCACTTTTGGTTGTTTGGTCTTCATGAAATATTCACACTGCTGAAATTGAACAGTTAGGGTCTGCGGCTCCTGATGCAGGCAAATGGACCTTTCTCTTTCCTGGCTTTTGTTTGTTTTGCAGCAGGGAGCGACCGTGGTCTTGTGGTTTGTGGAATCAAAACAAACTGCACTGCAAAAAGCCTCTCAGCTCTATTGAGCAGCACTCCACTGACAACAGCGATGCACATTCCAGGCACTTCCTCCCTCCCACATGTGCCCCCCCCCAGACACACACGCACACCCACACACACACACACACACACTGTGCATAAGTCGGTGTTCTTTCTACTGCAGTTCTATCATGTCTGTGATTTAGATGAAAACGGTGGAACAGCAGAAGAGCAAGTTACCTTGAGCGATGTAAGGGGTTTTGGCCTCCTTCACCTGGCTGCTCTCAGGCCGGGGGGTGGGTGCTGGTGGGCGATTGGCAATAACCACAGCCTTTGTTGAGTTCAGGATGGTATCACGTTCATCGTTCACCCCCAGTACTGTGTAGAGATCCTCCTCCCCTCCCCCCTCTCCTTGTTGCTCTTTCTGTACGTCTGCGGTGGAAGGACTCCCTAATGCACAAAGTGTTTACTTCATGATTGCTTAAATGTCATGATCACGTTCTGCATGTTGTTTGTGCTACTGTCGTTTCGCAGCTTATCGGAAGCAGCTGTACATGGTGTACCCATCAGCACGAGGATTATATTCAGTGGTCGGAAAAGAACAGCAACCCAGCATAATGATATGCTGGGGGAGGAAAAAACACAAGTCCATTACTGGCTTTCCTTTGTCCTCCCACTTCCCAGCAGCCCCTCACTCACCTGCTGTGCACATCATTTCATATACTCCGGCTTCACCGCTGTCCTTGGAGCTGAGCATTTTCTGCAACAACACAGCATAAACAGACACAGCTCAGTAGGGGTGAGTTAGAATGTAAGGAGTGCTGTGTTGAGGATGAGCATTTTCTACTGTAGTTTGGGTAGAACAGCTCCTCCAACAGCTCACTGCATCCTTTCTGTTGACTCATTTTCTCACCTGGATCCTCTTTCCAAAGCATAAAACTGAAACCCAGAAGCCGAACCTGCTGTCCACCGACCAGTCTTCCAGATCTGTTACTGGCTGATATCTGCCAGCTTTAATATTCGGTGTTTTCATGTCAGATGTGACAAACTCCAACTCATTAACTGAGGCTTTTCGTCTGCTTGGACTTGTCTTGCTGAAAAGCAATTTTGAGCTTCTAACAGGAATTTAGAGAGGTGTGCTGTAACCCTGCCTGCTGCCTGGAAGAACGCAGTCTTCCCTCTGACTGCGAAGCTGCTGCCGAGTCGGCCTCTGTGCTAATAACATGCTGAGGGACAGATGGGGTAATTATGAAATCAGACAATCGTCCCCTTTCAGTCCAAACATATCATTTACTGAGCAATTGGAGACCCTTGGTTTGATATTTACACTGCATCCACAGATTGAGATGTGGATCTTCATATTGCACTGGTTGTGTTACTGGTGGACCTCTGACAAGCTGCACCATTAACTAAAAGTTAGAAGTGGTTATTTGATAGTTGTTACCATGTATGGACACAGCTGCTCAGCCGTGTTGTGGATCACAGTAACAAAACACTCTGTCTTAATACATGTGATCATTCTTTGGGATTACATTTAATTCTATTGTCAATTTAAATCTATTCAGTTCAGTAACAAAAAACCCCCAGTCAATAATAATAAATTTGTGCAGAGAATGAGATCCAGCTCACTTTGATCAAGAACTCCTCAGCACAACCTGCCACGCACCGTGTGCAGTTTCCAAGCAACACAGCCACTCACGACTCAATTACAGTATTATCCTGCTCCTGCTGCAAATTATTTAGTGGCAGCCGTGAATGCATTACTTAACAGCACAGAGATGAGGCCCAACAGGTAAACGGGCCAGGTTAATTACCCCCGCAGCTTGAATGTTGAATTACAATAGCTGGATGCTGTGCTTCGGCACAGCGTGGTGTCCTGAGAGGTAATTCCTGAATAAGGGACGGGTATTTTATTTACTAACCGCAAATGCTAAATCATCTTACAGATGTCTGAAGCTGCAGGAGCCCCAGGCGTTCCAGATAAATTGAGTTTCACCACTGTGATCCAAGCAGCAGTGCCTCAGACAAGGGAGAGCACAGCTCAAGTGAATTTAGTCTGGTATGAGGAACGCAGATCTGCTTCAGCAGCTGAAATGATCGATCCACAGGCTGGCTGGTCTTGGCTCTCGCTGCCAGCATGCTCACTGTCTTTTGACATAGTGGTGTCAGAGTAGGAGCGCTTGATGCACGGCCAACTGCAGAGAGTAACGGAACTCATCACGTAAGTGCAATATAGGCAAAATCTGCCCAGCTGGTTTTTCTAGGCATGGACAAAATAAAAAGTGGTCAGCTCAGCAGGCAAATAAAGATTTCACACTTCAAACTATATTTACTCAGTTAAGTGTTAGAGTTCTTTAACACTAAACATACATTAAAGTAGGTTATTACCAGCGCTGGGATGTTACCTCAAGAATGTAATGGATTACAGGTTTAGTTACCCTGTTTAAAAGGTCATTTTAATTCAAAGCAATCTAACTTGTGGATGACTTGTTTGAACCTCAGCCGTGACGTCCAGTACTCACCAACATTTTGATGAGTAAATTAACTTTAAACTGTAAATTAGCCTAATTATTTGTACATGTGTTTTGTAATTTAATGACATATAATTATTGGTTGTTATTATAAGACAAAGCCACGCTAGCAGCCATGCTAGTTTAAACACAATTTAATTGTTCCTTCACTCCTCTGTTCTCATTTTACCTGAATCTTAACCAACGGCCCAAAGCTGCTTTTCCTGTTCTGAGGATCAAGGAATGAGGAGGCTGCTGGAGGAGCCATGAGCAAGCATACATAAGACTACCCTTGGGGGAAGTCCTTTATGGACAGACACAGCCCTTTATTTGAAATCAACTGGTGTGGTCGCACTTCAAATGAAGAACTGAAGGAAAAGACGTCCCATGTCTCTACAAACGTTTCCTTGTATCTTATGTGGGTTGGACTAAGGCACAAGGGAGGGGAACATGGATGCAGTTAAGAGATTTGGGATTCACCCATTGTATATCTCTGGATAAGCAAAAACAGACTTGAGAAGTTAGTGGATTTCATCTTCTGGGGACCATGACTGTCAGGACCAGTATCCATCCAGTAGCTGGACAGTTTGTTTCTCAGCACCAGGATGACTGTACCAGTCAAATGATAAACAAATCTCTGGAGTCTGTTGATAATGAATGCACAGTTACTGACCAAACAAAAAAAGGTCAGAGGAAGCAACAAATTCAGGACTAGAGCAAAGGACGTCATCTAATTTGGCTCTTCTGACAATGGATACGAGTCTGTGGTACACAAACACAGCATGCAACACATAAACAGCTCTTTGTAGTCTGTGGAAGGCCTTAGAGTTGCCAGCTCATTTGTGTTTTATAATGTTCTGCTATACATCTGAGAGCATGTCCTGAAATCTTGGTAGGAGCAGAGTCCATCTACAGAAACTACCAAGCGACACCTCGGCCAAATTTGTGACCCAGTATTGGAAATATTAAATAAGGGCAGTGTGTGTTTGTTAGTAATTACTATGAGCAAACATAACACTGCCATCTGAGGACATAAACATCACAAATAACAGTGGAGCATTTTCTATTTTTGTAATCTAGTTATGTTCTCCCTGAATAATTCAGTTTCCCCTCTGGAGCAGTTCACAGCTAATTAACAAAGAAGTGTGGTGCCAGGGCAGACGAGTGGATCTGACGTAGGCCCTGTGAGCGATTCAGCCTGCGTGTGAGGCAGGGGACCGATCCATCTAGGATTTATTGACCAAGTGCTGCTACCCGGATGCCCAAATCACTGATGCATCATGGGCTGATTAATTGGAGGTGCGGGGAATGCTGCAGATGAATTAATGAAACTGCCCGGCCAAAGAAAATACTAATACTAAAGGAGCAAAGACCAAAGCACACCAACTAACCAAGCTGATGTGCTTTGTAATTTCAGCAGCAGCTGTTTGCTTGGTAGAAGAGGCTCCTCGATGGCACAGACCTGGCTCACCATCAGGGTCAGACTACAAGGTCTCTTTTTCTATGAAACAGAAACACACCCACGGTTTCTTACCACATGTAGTATTTGCAGGACACAACAGAGGTGATGGTGTTTTGAACAAGCTGTCTTGGCTATGTCACCGAAGCATCATGTTTTTTAATGATAATGTTCTCACTGCCTAATGAAATTAGCATTGAAAAGAACATGAGTCTAGTGTCCTCCAGGTTGATCAGATAAAGGGATGTGCATGCGTGACGGGGATCTATTAAATCTGGTTTGGTGCTCATTAGCGAGTGTGCGCTTGTGTCACTGTATCTGCACAACAAAATGGCAGATTGAGCAGAAAGAGGCTGTCTCTATTAACATGAGAAAATGGCAGCAAGAAGTGGCAACATTAATTGTCTGACTATATGCAGACAACCTGCGCTGTGAGCCGTTGTGCATGCATGAACAAATACAGGCTTTCTGGTCTCTGCGGGGTTATTCCATTAGGAGCCTCGCAGGCCGAGCATGTTCAGGATGAGACAGTGTGGGGGTTACTACCCATCCACTGTTCTCTAGCATGCTGCAAGAATGAATTCCAGCTGGAGGAAATGCAAATTATATGTCAGAGAAATAAAAAGGAAAACACTGCAGAGGATATAGGGGCATAAACAGGTTACCAGTGTTTCCTTCAGTAAGACGTGAAGCTCTGTGTGGCCGTGACTCTGGGCAACCTCGGCGGGGGTCTGTCCGTGGCGGTTGGCTGTGTGCAGTGCTCGCTCAGCACCTGGACACTGCAGCAGCAGTTTGGAGACACTTCTGAATCCAAACTGGGCAGCAAAGTGGAGGAGTGATGGTATATCTGCGTGGTGGCGCTCTGATGTGGAGAGAAAGATAGATATTTGTACACACTTCTTCTGTTACTTCATTTCCAGGTGATAACTTCAAGCTGACCTGATGTAACATGAATAATCGAACACATCCAAGAGAGTCAGAGAAAGACAGCTTCTAATAATACAGCAAATTGTTTGAGATGGTCTCATTGCTTATACATCACTGTGTGAATGTTCCACAGAGGCTCAAGCTAGCGCTCTGACATCACTGTACCTGTCTCATGTGTGTTTTCATAGTGCAGTCCCTGAAAGCCTCCAGTGGGCATTCTCTTTAAAAACATGGAGTACAGCTTCTGATCCAGCTGCTCCACAGAAGACACCCGCAGAGCCTGAAATCCAGACAAACAGACCACATTCTGAAATCGTTTGTTGAGGTCTGGACCCTTTTCAGCACTAATACAAGTAAATGACTAACTGAAATTTACATTTGATGAATAAAAAGCAGCACCTGAACCAGTCGGGGTATTTGGATCATATGCTGAAGTATAAGCAGATTCCTAGCTCAAAATCCTCTTGGCAAATTCTTCTTTTGGCAGCGCTCAAGTTTGCCTCTTCAGCAAAAAGAGCCCTAATCAAATCAAGTGGCCTAAAGGAGGCTGAAACCTGCCGCCTCTTCAATTTCAGGATGGAGATGAGAAACGAGCGCACGTAAACATCAGCAGAAAGACGCTGATTCAATTTCTCTTTTGTTTTTCCAAGCCTTTCAAATGGGGTGGAGTGGATCGATAATGAGCAGCGTTTTGGGGTCGTGATCGACTACATTTTGTAACTGGGTTACATAACGATGAGTCACTGAGTAACACAACATGTGGAAGTGCCTGAGTTACTCTGATTAAGGACAGAGTGAAAAGAACTGCAGTGAATGACTTTCCTCCATTACTAAATCAATGATTGACTGGAGGTATTTGAATACACTGTGAGGTTCACTCAGGGCTCGTTCTCTACAAACAAATTAATTCTGTGTAATGGCACACTTGCTTTCTGTTTTACCGCTTAATCAAATAAAGCTGGGAAACAATATACATCTTTGAAACTATCGGGCTTTGCTGTTTGTCTTCATGTGAGTTTATCTGCTTGTGTCTTCTTTTGCAGAGGTGATGACTCAGCCGCATGATTATTTTAAAGGTATTGTGCCCATGCCTTTTATTTCAAAGACACTGAGCTAAATAACAAACCCCTCTCTGCACAAAGCAGGACAAACTACAGGTGATTACATATCTGCACCGTACTGTAGCAGCCACATGAAGCAGGATTTACAGCAGCACTGTTGGATTAGACTGACCTAGTTTGACCAAGGTGTACCTAATAAACTGACAGCTGAGTGTATTTCAATTAGATTTTGGTTTCAATGAACTTTTGAATGAAGACAAGCTCTATCCTCCTACATTTCCCATAATGCAACCAATATTTCCAATATAACCAAATATTCCAGTTGTTTTACATGTATTAATATTTTAAGTCTGTTAGAAAAAGTATGTGATGCAGTAAGATGTAAAATATACTTATGGTTAATTTTTAATCATAAACTAACAGAATATCATTAAACACAAAAGATGAACTGTTTTGATGCCATATCATAAATACATTAGTTGGAATTTGTAATAAACCAAACAACTGTAAATTCAGTGGGTTAGGATGATTGTAGATAAACACATTAGGAGCCTCCCTGTACCAACATGGCAGCTGTACTGCTGCATCGCTGCAATGAACAGCAGCAGCTCATGTGTTTATATCTATGCTAAATGCCCTTGATGAGATGATCAGGGAAAACCACCGTCTTAATGTGATCGGGGTGATTTTCTCAGACTTGTCAATGACATTATACATCTGTTTTCACAGAGCTCCACTATGAAAATGTGGCTATTCTTTCAAGTGGAAAAGCTCTTTAATACTGTAGCTCTACCTGACACATGAAGTCTACAGGGTCCGCTGCCCTTGACAGGAGGCAGGCGACCTCCTCCATGCTGCTGTAGTATTGCAGCTGTGCCTTGCCCAGCGGCACCCCGTTACTATACACAGTCACTCTCACATTCCCTGCTGGAAAATCTGCAATAGAAAACACAGGCAGGTCCAAAAAGAATCTGGCTGAGTAAAGCTCTCACTTTAAAATGTATTTCTCATCTTTTTCATATCGTGGTGTTCACCTGGTGCGTTAACACACAGGGTCTGCTGGTTCCAGCCGACAGGCTTCACTCTCAGAGTGTGATTCTCGCTGGTGAACTCCACTTCAGTGTTGCTCCCAGCCGCCTCCTTTTTCAAAAGTATGAACACCTCTGTGGAGCTCTGCCAACGTGACAGCACAGTCAACTGCAGTGCAGCTGTGTAACAAAAAGAGAAGGCTCACTACTGGCTGGACGAATGTCTTACCCTGCATTGGACTCGGGAAGGAACGGCCACAGTGCTGGACCTGATGCTCTGGGCTCCGTTTGAATGCAGTCGTTCCATCTTTTGCTCTGATCCTGATGGTCTGTGTGTCAGGGGGTTGGCATTTGCTGCTGTGGCTGACACTCCAATAAAAAAAAAACAGGATGTCATACTGAAACACCAACACTTGTGTCTTTCAGATAAGCTAGCTATGTGCATCTTCAGCCAGGCAAGGGAGGGGTGGCAACGTTGGTCTACCACTTTGGTCCAGGCTGAAATATCAAAAGCACTGTGGAAAGACCTTTGTGGTCCCCAGAAGATTAATCCTGCTGTCTTTAATGAACCTCTTCCTCAGGCATTAGCATGAGATTTACATTTGTTGTTTGCAGTGAACTCTTTCAGCAACTATTGCTCTGAAATTTGATAAACATAAGTAATCTCTTGGTGGTGCCCTAACCTTTATACTATTCACACTGAAAGTTTGACTTTTCAGTGGCCGTGGCTCTCCGTTGATTTTGTTATCTGTCCATGCAGGGAACATTCTTCACCTGTGCAAACTAAAGCTCATCCAGCATGTGTATCGCACGAGCTAACAAACAAACAGCATCATCTGCTTTGAATAGTGAATGTACTTCTGAGTTAAAATATTACTGATCATGGGATCCTGGCCTGAACCATAATACTGTATCAGTGTGACGAAGTGATGCCAAGTGCACTTGAATTTGCATGGCCCGTGACAAGAAATCAGTTGTAGCAAAAGAGGAAAGACAGACAACTTGCATCAGATGTCCCTCCTGCGAACACACCCGTTTATCTAGAAGCTGCCTCCACCGCTATATGATTTTATACAAATAGTGTAATTAGGAAAAACAGGGAAGGAGGCAGAGGATGATTAGTGAGGAAGATGAGGACATGCTACTGTAGAGCTGCACAGTCTCACCTGCAGCTACTGCTGAGAAATACTGGATGCCAATCTTCACCACACGGTTCTCCAGAAAAAAGTCAGTAAAAATGCTCCCAAGCTGCTGCTCAGGCGCTCTCAGAAATAACGAGCATTCTTTTTTTTACTCGCATTTAGGGCAGAAAAACAGAGAGGCCATGTGAAATTCTTCCTGAAGGAGACACGCTGTCATGCATTAACATACTTATATTACTGGTGTTCAATGGGCTGATATGTTGCTGTTGCTTAGAAAGAACAGATATCAGTATCTAACTCCTGTGAAGACGCTGAGTTGAATTGATCATAACGGTTATCATACTAGAGCTTCAGTGGACTATGAGTGCATGTTCTAAATAACACTGTCAAGATTAAATTATGTTGGAAACACTGAAAAGAATTTCTACTTTGCAATGTCAAAGATGTAGAAGAAGTGTTCAGATAGTAAAGTTATGGGGAAACAAAAGTGATTTTAATATTATTAGATTTGCAAGCAACTGACCCCATTTGCCATGGCACCTACATATTTCCTGGTTGGTACCTGCATCATTTGTAGTTACAATAGGATCAGTATGAAATGAGGCTGTTACTTCTGTTCTCCTTTTTTTAGTAGAAAGATGTTGCTAAAGGAAATGCTTAATAGTTTTTGCAGAGGTTGCCAGATGTGGTGAGATTTATTTTGCACTTTAGCTAAAATAATCTCTAGTTAAAATGATGCCATACCTTTTCTGACAATGCCAGTCACAGAGGCTAGGTACTCATGAGCGTCTTGGTCACTGGAGATCTGCAGGCACTCATCACCGTTCAGGGGCACTAGCTCCAGCAGTGGGCTCAGACTCTTCACCCCACACAGCAGCACCACCACATGGTCTGAAGGACTCAACACACGGGCCAGGAAGAAGCGTCGCATCTGGCACAGACCCTCCAGCATGCCTTTGGAAAGGATCAGGAGCTTGCAAGTGTACTGGGCCAGCACGAGGAAGTCGTCTCTCTGGCTGGACACTGTTGAAATGTCATAGCAGCAGATCCCAGCCTCAGAGAGGGCACCACTGAAGACTGACTGCAGGTAGGTGGCCCACTGCTCTGCCTCGCTCTCATAGATGATTAGCAGCTCCTCAGCTACAAGATAAAGGCATATTCTGTTAAAAATGGGCAACAAAACATCATTTTCTCCCTATTTTATCTAAACATTTAGGCTGCATAACATACATTTATAGCAAAGGTTTCCAGACTTTTCTACAGCTGACTCATTTAATGGAAAACTAATTCTGCTTTCACTGTCAGAGTAGCATATTAAAATAAATAAACTAAATAATAATAAACTCTGTGAAGAAGGTCCAGAAGAGGAAATCTTTGTCATTAAAAAAGCACCAATTTTTACTGTGACATTTTTCAACATCGTTCCAAGACATGGTGTACCATTATGAACAGTGTTGCTCTGGCCACTGTGGAGAACCATACATAATATAATCAATACTCGTATATTAAAGCAATTAATCATTTTCATTGCCCCAGTAAAATGTGTGTAACAGCGACTTATGACATAAATAATGTAAAAGGATAGCTTACCTGTCTGGCTCATGGCTACACTGCTGTTGGTCTGCAGGTCTGACTTCACAGTGACATGGAAAACAGCGCAGCTATTATCAAGAGGAGCTCAGATAAGAGGGAGTTTCCTGCTGCTCCAGAGAGGACAAAAAATTGGATCCTGTTCTCTGTGCTGGTGACAAGGAAGAAGTGAGGATTTGTTTTTCACAAAACTTTACAAATTCACTGGCAGCAACTATGGGTAGTTTAGTCAGTGTCCCTCCACTGACAGTCAGTGTACTAGGCCCAAAGCTGACCATGTGCTTTGGACGTACAATGTTTAGTTCACTGCCGACATGTTACAGGTGCTGGTTCTACCAAACCTGATAGCTATAAAATATGAAATAACAAAAAAAATCTAAATTCTAGATAATGTTTAGTCACTGAAGGGTGGCACAGTGAGATGAGAATGTCTCACCTTGTTCTTCAGACACTCTCAAGCAGGCAAAATCATGAATGAGGGAATAAATTATAAGCCCTTTCTATGAATAATTACTAAGACTGATGCATAATGCTTGCAGTGTTGTCAGGATTTCTCTTTTTATTTTATGATATGGATGTTTTGTTGTGATCGTTATTTAACTGTGTTTGACATTATTGACACTTCTGGTGTATTGTCTCTAAATAATACGGGGCGTAAACAATCTGGGTTTATTGTTTTTGCCCTGACAAACCCCCACTGAGGTCGAAATCACCCTGCGTTGTAAATGATGTGCCAGACTAAATACAGGCTTTTAATACATCTTTACCGTTGCGTAAAGCATCTTAAGAACGTTTACCGTGATTAGTTTATTATAGTAAATGAAAATGAACAACAGGAAAAGGATTCCAGAAAAAAGAATAGGTCTGGATATTTAAAAAAAACTCCAGTAAATAACAACATGTGAGTGAAAGGTGAAAAACATGAGTCAGATTTTTCACAGAGTTTCATTACGTCTGCAGAGCTATGGGAGAACCTGAGGCATGTTGAAGCTAATGATCTGGTGTGAAAGTCTCCACTACGGGCAGAGATTAAAAAGGCTGTGGGACGTTCTGACCTACTATGCAGTCGCACACAATCTCTCAGTAAGAGAAATGTAAAATTCAGAGCTTCATTAAACTGCCTACACCTGCCAAACAAGTGACTCATGCAGCACCGGCGTCTCATTAATAGCAGGTTGTCACCATTAATTTCCTTTGAGCTGCCGTGGGGTAATTGGAATGGTCAAATGCAAAGAAAATGAACAGGTGAAAGCAGAGAGAACTTTTTCATTTCAAGTTGCCCATGCTGTGTACCTGGTGACTCAGACCATGCAACTCCCGTGCGTGTAGATCCACACACCTTCACTCCCAAACAGGAAATGAATGATCCTGCAACAAGTTCAAATAAAACCAAGTCCTGATAGTGAAGATATCAAAGTCAGCTGCTTTCCATAACTAGTGACATGGAGACAAATGACGCAGCACACTTTTTAAAAAGTAGTTTTAAAAAATTTTATCAACATAGATGAAAATACTTTGAAATTGCCAAAATTAAAATAACAGGAAAATCCTGTAGCTGTGAATTCCCCTAAATCTGCTGATGCAGTAATCCAAAAACATGGATGAGTGTTTCTGCGGCTGAAAATTGCAGTGAAGGTTGAAGGCAGGAAACAGTACCGTAGTACTGCTGAGAGCAAAGTTACTGGTGGGTTTTGTGAAGGATTTTGGGATGATGGTTATTATTTTTGACTTGGAGCTGTTCAGTTTAAGGAAGCTGCCCTGCATCCATGCTTTAACTTCATCCAGGCTGTACAAGTGGAGTGAGTTCTGGGTGTGCTGGAACTGGTGGCTATGTAAAGCTGTATGTCATCAGCATAACAATGAAGCTCAGACCATGCTCTTGGATGAGGCTGCCTAGAGGAAGGATTAAGAGGAGGGGACCAAGCACCAAACCCTGGGGAACACCTTGTTTGAGAGGAGCAGTCAAAGATTTACAGCTTTTAATCCTTATGTATCTTTGTTTGTCTGTGAGATTTGGTCAGTGTTTGCGATGTTGAGTGATGTTTCTAGGCAAGACAGGAAGACGAACTGACTGATGGTGTCAAATGCTGCACTGAGGCCTAGGTTAATGAGGATGCTGGGGGGGCAAGAGGAATATGGCCGGAGCAGAGGGAGGAGTTTACAGTACATTTATGAGTGAGCAGATGTTTGGCAGGCAGCCCTTTAATAGGCTGCAAGGGACTGGGTCCCTGGGGGCTGGTGGTAATTTTCATTCTGGTCATGATGTGGGAAAGGTCACCAGGGAAGACTGGAGAAAACTAGCTGAGAGGCTGATTTGTTTGGAGGGTAAAGCTGAAGCTAGAGTGGAGGAGGCTGTGGCTAGGTTGTTAGAGATGGAATCAATTTTGGTTTGAAAGAATGAAAGGATGTTGCATTGATCAGCTTTGGGACTGCTGGACCCACACTGAATGACCTGTGAATAGTAAGTGGTCCAGGCTGAGCCTAAAGTGTCTTTGTATTGAGGGAACCCGTCTTTGTGAGTCCGGTTTTTGTGCAGTCGCTCCAGCTGATGCTTATAGGATTTCATTTGGTGATGTGCAGCTGTGTACTAGGGAACAGAGGGAACTATGGGAGCTACTTGATCAACGGATCAATTTCATTGCCTTAAGGTGATTTATTTTTATAGTGATGGATTTTCTATTGTCTTGTTCCACCCATTTATATCAATGAGACTAAGCTAAATAATTGAAACACCTCTCTGAATAATGCATTACAGTTCAACAGCCACACAAACTACAGCCTCTAAAACAATCAAACAGTTGAATGAACACCTCTCTACCACAGTCTGAACAAAAACTGGACATCATCAAGAGTCCAGATTCAAGGTTTTTATTTGCCATTTATGCATAAACAGACAGTCTAGGCATATAGGAATTCTTGTGCAGCTCTCCTTTGGAGTAAGGAGTCAAAAGCCATCATGTTCATGGAGGATGATTTATAGCAGTGCTGTTACAGACAGGAGACAAATGAAGTTAAAACCCAAGAAAGTGTTTCAATAAGGTGTTACAACATTTATAAAGCATGTGATTTAGCTTTTTTCATCACTATTCCTATTGATAAGAATAAGTATAGCAAAACAGGTGTAAAGTAACAGGTGGTGTGTGTATTTCAGCACTACAGAGGCGTGGAGAGCAGCGAGGAGAGAGATCATTTTACTATGTGTACCCTCCTGTGTGAATATGTACACATTTGTATTCCTGAGTGTTATGGTTCATACATTAATTACCTGTTTTATTTTATGTTTTACAAATGTGAGAAGGAAAACAAGTCCCTTGAATGCAGGACTGACTGTGATGTTTAAAATAAAACTTAAGCTGCCTGGTTTTCTTTTTGACATCATATGAGCTATAGCCTCAAATACATCACGTCAGCATCTCCCATAGCTGTTCAACTGGGCTGAGACCTGGTGACTGGGAAGGCCACAGCGTCTGGTTAACATCATGGTCATCCTCACGTCTGTTCACGCCCAGTGGATGGAGTTGCTGTCATCCTGGAAGAGACCAGTACGACACCACCTTCAACTATGCCCTCAATAATAAAGATTTAAATGAATTTATACATTTGTGACAATTTCACCAAAATCTGAAAGATATTAAGTGTCATAAACATAAGGCAGAAGTGTTACTCTGAGGTGCATACAATTGTACAGGTGTACCCAATAAAGTGGCCGGTGAATGTATATTCTGCATACCTTTGTAAACATACAATATATGTCTTGTAGATCTTACTGCAGCATGATGTTTGCGTTTATTTCTGCTCTTGTGTTGCTGTGTAATACTTTGCATGATTCGCCTCAGTGGAGGTGGGGAACCACTGTGCAGCAGCGATGTCACTGTGGGAGTAAATACAGAGCGCAGCCAAAGTTAGGTAAAGAAAGCACTACTGTATGTGTGTGTTAATTTTTTACACAAAACAAACAATTTGATTTTTAGGAATTTATGATTTACCATTTTATAGAACCAGGGGTTTCATTTACTTTTTACATGTATTTCAAATATGCCACCCCTCTCTAGTCTGTGCTCCAGCCTGGCCACCCCATCCAAAATTTTCTAGATCCACCCCTGCCTTTTGTTATTTTGTCTGCTTATATTTTTTAACTTTGGATTTTCGTACGATGCTTTTGTGTTGTCTGTTTTTGTCTTAGTCATGGCACCACTGAAAAAGGCTTCCAACGTAAGTGGGGTTTTCCTTGGTAGAATACGAAATAAAATTGTTGTTTTAGGTCCGTTTGTTCACTTACATGTTATGCTCACCTAGATGCACATTCGTTATGTTTATTTCAAATAGTTTATACAGTTATTCAGCCCAGATTGACACAGAAACAGCCCTTTGAGAAAAGTAAATGCAGATATAGCGGGGAAGCCTGCCGCTCTCCACCAATAGGAAGCGCTTGTGTGGGTTGGGGGCGGGTCTTGATGATTAGCATGTTTGCCTGCACACTGCGCTCCGACAACTTGACACAGAGTAACAGTAAATCAGACAGCAGCTCCTCCAGCACCAGCAGTGAAATTGTAACCCTGTTGTAAGTATTTTTGGCCGCTGATAGGACCGAGTGAGATCACTGCGGTCTCTTTTCTCGGCTAGACTCAAGAGTTGTTCGGCAAGAGCAACGTAGAGACCGTTTTCAGTCTAATTTCTGCGATATCTCAACATTAAATCACACTGGAAATGTCCGAAAACAAGCCGAATGATGAGCCGAAGTTATCTACGACGGACAGGGTGGTGAAATGTAAGTAGTTGTTCATGATACACTGAAATGAGACGCGGCCACAGCTTTCCCTTAAAAGATTCGCCCTCCTAGAAGCGGCAGCAGCAGATGTAGTCGATATTTGTGCGCTGGCCGCGGAGGAAGAAGGGTGTTAGCCGAGCTGTGACAGCGGCAGTGAACTAGGAAGTGAGGGGAACTGGAGTTTGTAAACCAGAGCGAGAATTCAGCTAGAAATGTGTCACAATTGTGCCTGTGATATTCAGAGTCAGTCACCGGCGTGACAGATGCATGATCGTTTTGATCCATATACACAGTGTGCATGCAGATATTGCACAACCATCACATTGAAGCCAAGGGCGATTTTCCCTCATTCTGCATGCATCACCAAGCATAGTTTTACCAAAGCTCCCTTTTTCACTGTTGCATAATACTACTTGATGTTGCCTATGTTTTGAAATCTCACATTTGGGAGGTGATAGCCGTGTACAGTTAGTATCCATGTCATATTGTGCAGGGTTTTTTTCTGCCTTCCTTCAGTGTTTACAGGTCTGACATTCCACCTTTGCAGTCTCCCATAAGAATAAAATAAAGATCATAATCGAGTCGACCTACCCCTTAAACACAGAGCTGGAGCAATGTAGCCTACCCAGTTTAAGGTCAGTTGTCATCTGTGCTGCCTTAAGGACAGGTCCCTTCTGATGCTGCAGTATCAAAGCCTATTCCTGTTTTAGGACATGAACAGTTGGTGACATTCTGAGTGAAATTTGTGATGTGGGAAGACAAATGCTGAGCCTTTCCTTAGAAGTAAGATGACACACTGTGTTTATTTGTACTGGCACTACTCTCCTGTTTTTATGTACATGGCAACAGGCTTGTGCAGCGATCACAGTGTGCACAGGCGTAGTAGAAATGTTAATGTGATCATTAAACATTAAGATTTTGTTGAGAAAGGAGAAAAGGCAGCGCTGCGTTGTTCAGAAGCCCATGACTGGAATCACTGCTGTCAGCACCAGCTCAGGCTCGATCACAAATGTGGTTGTTCTTTATAGCTTACTTGTGCCATGAGGTGGAAAAAATGTTTAATATGATAATAACAGTGACAGTTTGTTTTTAAGGCTAGCCAGCTGAGTTACGGCTGAGAAAATGGGGTGAATTGTTTAAAGAGAGTCGCAGCGCGTCGTGGGTCCTTCTGTTATGAATATTTCAAGAGATCATCCCCCTGCATTCTCCAGCAACCTGAAGGATGATGAAAAATAGATGTGACAAGTGTGGGTTTTGAAGAGATTTAGCAGTAACACTGGGAGACATGACTGGTCATATTATATGGATGTGAAGCTACTTTTCCTTTTGTCCCATGGCTGTTTTACGTGGGCTTGCCATTGTACTCCGCATCTCAGTACTGTATGTTCGGTCCCTCCCTGCTCTGCTGTCTGCTCTGCTCTTAATTAGGTTTAAATGTATTGATTAGTCATTAGAGGAGCTGCCAGGGAACCTGAGAGCTCAGTTTCTGGGGCTCAATTCTAAACCTGATGTTGAGATCAGCAAAGTAATTGAAGTCATTATTCATTCATCGGGTTTTGAGAAGTCAGTGTTTTGGTAATGCATCAGTATTATGACAACACAGACACTGGCTGTGTACAAAGCACCTCTCCGAAATAACCCGGGGCTATAGGTGTGAAGTAATTTGTTTTCAGCTGTCTAGTTTGCCCCGCTACAAGGTGCCAGTCCAACTTATCATAAGTGATTTGCATCCACCTGTTTTCAAAATGCATTAACATAATGCTCCAGAGAGCCGCCGCCGCACAGTAATTACTCAGAGTTTAATCAGCTGAGGCAGGAGAAGTTGCACAGCTTTCATCTTGTTTTCATCCCTGACAGAAATGCACCAAAATATACGAGCGGTTTCCAGTATATGACCATTGAATGTAATGAACTGCATCACCTGTATGTCAGTCAGTTTGTTGTATAGGAATTTCTGCTTGTTAGTTGACAATTGCAGCTGTTTTGTGTTACTTTTTTAATGGCTTATCTTGTTACAGTAAATAAGGATTATGTTGTTGTTGACCCGTGATAATCCCGATTGTTTTGTCAGGATATTGTGCTAAAATTATTTGCCGTTTGGCAACTGATGGAAATTTTATTCATCAGTTAGACAGTTGTTTCGTTAAAAAGTCAGGAAAGGATAAAAATACAACTAATAATACAATATAAACCATTAGTAAAAAATACCAATCGTTAGTATAACCGTAATAACAAGTTAAAGTCTGATAAAGGATTAAAACCAACATCCAGCAGTCAGATTTAGAATTAATAAAATCTCAGACTTATTTGACTTGCATGTTTGCTGAAGATATAATTATTGAAATAAAATGTTCAGGATTGAATGTGAGCTCATTTAGGTAGGAAACAAACAGCAATGTTGTCGTCTCGGTGCACTCATGACCACCTCTGTGCTCCGGAGCGAAACGAGCTCGGTAACGGTGTTTTTCCTTCACCAGCTGAGGAGCAGGGCCCTCCGGGCCCCGGGTGGTGTGCCGGGTCCTTCTCTGCGAGTGTGGATGGATAACATCTGACATTTGACTTTTGAGGAGGGGCCCCTGTGCTCAGACATGCGTGGGTTTGGCGAGATGGTGGTGGTGACAGCGCTGCAATGCCAGCTACTGATCCCAGCTGGAGAGCCGAGTCATTTATAGAACAGAACATTAAGTAATGCCACATACTCGATCCTCGCTTTATGTGTGATCACCTGCATGCGTTCTACTTCGTGCTCATAAGCCGACATGTTCTTATATTTATGAGGTGCAAATGCATACATATAAATGACCATTTATCTAGAATGTTCCTCGAGGTGTTGTCACTCTCTATTAGCATAAACCTTGTCATTAGCTTTGTTTACATGGGACTAGGTGATTTCTAATAACTGCTGAGGCTGTTTGTGATTTAAATTCTGTGCCAGTCTGCTGTCATTCTGTAAAGTTAAAATTTCACAGAAGTGTCAGTAACTGCATCTTTTCTCCATAATTTCCAATTCTGCTAGACATTTTAAATCTGGGGGATGGAGACAAAGCTGTGATGTATGTTGGATGTAAAGGTTTTTATGAAGATTGTTTATTATGATTATGCCTAAAACAATTGCACAGTCAGTCTTTAGGAACAAAATGGCTTTTATTTTTGATTGAATGTAGTGCTAGAGCTGAGATAATTGATCCAAATTGATTCAGAAAAGTGTTATGGAAAGTTTGACGCTGTTTTCTGAAGATGTATAGACCAAACAAGTTGTTAAAGAGCTGCTTCAGAAAGATCAGGGTGATCAGGCCGACGTCCTCCTCCGCTGTCAAATTACTAAACTTTTTCTCTGCCGTGTTTTTTAAGTTACTCAGACTTTTGACTCTCACCTGGAAGGCGCGTGGTGATGGAGGTGTGTCCGTTTTGCTGTCAAATCAGATGAGCCCACCCCCTGCACAGCGCTACGCCTAGAGCGCATGAGGCTAAAGCTAAGCTAACTAGCTCAGGTAAAGAGCAAGCATAAGGTAACTTGCATTATCCATTAGGTCCTATTGTGATTAGCTGCGGGTGAACAGCCAATCAGAGTAGGTCTTCATGAGTAATGTATATTTTATGTTAATGACCACTGAAACAGCCCGTTAGAGGACAGAGGAGAATCTGGGCTCTTTGTAAAGATGGACTTAGAGAAATCTAAAAAAGTATGGTGGAAAAAAGGTCACGACATGTTTACAATACACTTAATATTTATAAAAATTGTCAAAAAAGGCTTTAATGCCAGCTCTTTAACAAAGGTGCTTACTGGTTACTGTGGCGCCACAGCCTGCAGGTTGGTAGTGTCAGGTATTTTTAGTCAGATAGAAATTGGATAGATACTTTATGTATTAGAAATGTTTAGTGGAGATAGGATGTCTAGTTAGACTGTTAAATGCTTAGTCATGCTTATGAGTTTCTACAGGGTACATCTGGTCAAGGATAACTAGAGAGAAGAGTTGATGACTGTCA